TACAATGTCAATAAGTCACCTGTCACATTAAATATATGTTCATATTTTGAAATATGTAAATATCATTCATATCAATGAAGTGAAGATGTCACAGATATAAATATTGAATCAAATTACTGATATCAATAAAACTGATGCACTTTTGACATTAATAATTTAATGTGTGTAAATAGGTTATTGATGTCACGCAGTGAATATCATTTACATAAAACATGCAAGGAAATATGATATTGAAAATAAGAACAATTGGATATTGGGTTCGTAATAACATACAGGTGAGGTGAGGTGAGGTGCGGTGAGGTGAGGTTAGGTTTAGCGTCCGGTTGAAGATTATTGCACTAATACTGTGCATGCGTGTGAGTGTGTGCGCGCGTGCGTGCGTGCGTGCGTGCGTGCGTGGTTTTTAGTGCTAGCCCTGTGAGATACCATACCAGGTATATCGCTCACTTTGGATACAAACACCTAGCCGACCAGACCTTCTCTCCCTTTAATACCGATTACCATCCAGGGCAACAACAAGTACCGTCTTTTGGTATGACGTGGTCGACATCGAATCCAGCGTTGTTCCGCTCTCCGGCAGACGCTCTATCCACTATACCACGAAGGCGGTTAAGAAGTCTTGCAAGTCATATATTACTGGAGCAATTTCTGTTCAGTAGTGATGACATTTTCTTTTTAAAACATTCCAAGACTTTGATTAGACAAATGTGAACAAGGCCTCGTTTGGCTTAGATTTGATACTCAGAAAGTATAGTTGGTCGGGTGAAACAGCTTCACTTTTACACTGCACAAAGGTGAGGTGAGGTGAAATTGGGTTTAACGTCGTGCTTGAGAATATTTCGCTCATATGACGACGTGCATGCGTGTGTATGTGTATGTGCGGCTGCTTGTACTAGCCCAGACTTAAGCTGGTTTTATAGTGCTAACCCACTGAGATACCATGCCGCAGTGAAGCATGAATACCCCACTCAGACACATTATACTGACTCCGAGTCGACCAGTCCTTGTTGTACCCATCAATGCCGAGCGCCAGGCAGGGACCTGTAACATATTTTAACGTCTTTTGGTATGACGCGGTCGGGGATCGAACCCACGACTTCCGCTCTCTGGGCGGACGCTCTACCCACTACACCACGGAGGCGGCACTGCACAAAGGTGAGTGACAAGAACAAGAACACGGTACGTGGACAGAATAGCAGACCGACCAAGACCTTAGCAAAGTTTTTGTTCAGAAGGGAAAGCAGTAGATCGATTCAGCGCTCTGGCATCATGGCACAGATGAGGATGTAAGTATATGCTTGTATTTACGGGGGCGGTGGGTTAGCGTAGTTGTTAAAGCGTTCGCTCGTAATGTCGAAGACCCGGGTTCAATTCCCTACATGAGTGCAATGTGTGAAGCTCATTTCAGGTGTCCCCCGCCGTGATATTGATAGAATATTGCTAAAAACGGTATAAAACCATACTCACTCACTCACTAGTATTTACGACATTCGACACACCCAGCTGAACTTGGAACGGTTAATATAATTAATTTATTTAATTTCACATTGTGATTTTTGGTCATGCATTTCCCTAAATGATTTACGTCTTAAGAAATAATATGCAGTTTGTTGTTTTACGACGCAATCAGCAATATGACACTTATGGCGGTGGTCTGCAAATAATCGAGTCTGGTCCAGACAATCCAGTGATTAACAGAATGAGCATCGACCTACGCAACTGGGATATGATGACATGTGTCAACAAAGCCAGCGAGCCTGACCACCCGAACCCGTTAGTGGCCTCTTAGGTCCAGTAAGGGTATCTGATCAATTCTAACCCGGATCTTCACGGGTTCTGCATAAATGTGTATTTTCGTGTAAAGTTTAACTCATTACCGGATGACCACTGAAGATCCGTATTTGAATTGGTCCTCAGTCACCCATGCTTGTCGTAAGAGGCGACTAAAGGGATCGGGTGGTCAGGCGCATATGTCATCGTATGTCTATAGAAATCGATGCACATGATATGAAGTACTGGATTGTTTGGTTGAGACCCAACAGACGCCATCACATACATAGTATAATTAGTGCTGCATTTATAAAAAAACAAACCCCAAAAACAACAACCCAAAACAACAAAATCACAGACCAAAGTATACTGAACCGCAAAAGAAACGCAAGTTGATTTAGAAATGTCAATATTTCTGAATCTGTGGAACAAACAATCTTAACACTACGAAAAAACAACAGACAAGTGATTGTTGAAGAAATGAGTCGTGATCTCTGGTGAAAACAACACTCAAGTTTACTGTAAAAGCATATGTTATCACTCCACCCTCACACACCAAAAATGTCACGAAACAGTGTGTCAATCAGTAGCGCGTGTGACCACCATTGGCTGCAATGCAGGGAGCACAACGACGTCTCATCGAGTCAACAAGTGTCTGAAAGAAGGCTCGGGGAATTTGATTCCATTCCCTGACCAATCTGGCTTCCAAATCTCTAAGGTTTTGAGGTTGAGCAGCTGTCTGTATCCGTCTACTAATTTCATCCCACACATGCTCGATTGGTGCCATATCCGGGGACAGAGAGGGAACAGAGAGGGCCCAGGGCAGTACAGCAATGTTGTTCCCTCTGAGGAAGTCCATAGAGACCCGTGCAGTGTGAGGACGAGCATTGTCCTGCTGGAACGCCTGGAGCTGAGGTTGGGCCTGGAAGAGCGGTACAACGTGGTGTTGAAAGACCTGGTCTCTGTAGACTACAGCAGTCACACGTTGACGAAACACGTGTAAACGTGTTCTGTGGTGGTAGCTGAAGCCACTCCATACCATGAGTCTTCCACCTCCCCAGCGGTCAGCTTCCACAACACAACAGTTGGCGTAACGTTCATTACGTCGTCTCCATACACGTAATCGGCCATCGGCGTGGGACAAGTTGAATCTGGACTCATCAGAAAACAACACTTGTTGCCATTGTTGACGTCGCCAACGCTGGTGTTGTCGCGCCCACTGTAAACGATTTTGGCGGTGACGTTGCGTCAGAATCGGTCCTACGTAAGGACGGCGACATCTGATCCATGCTGCCCTCAGACGACGACGAACAGTGTCTGCAGAGATGTGACGTTGTGGCCCTTGAATGGTTGCAGCTGTCTGTGTTGCTCGTTGCTGTCGGTTACGCAGATGAGTAACCCGGATGTGACGATCTTGCGCTGGCGTTGTTACCCTGGGACGTCCTGAACGTGGTCAGTCTGGAACATTACCGGTTTGACGATGCCTTGCAGATAGTCTTGTGATTGTTGTCACGTGACATCTGAAGTGCCTGGCCACTTTAGTTGGAGTGGATCCGGTCTGCAACATTCCAACGGCGATTTATCGTTGCTGTTCAGTTAGACGTGGGATGTATTCTCCGCGTTGTCACTGTCAATTTTGTGTTCTATGGTGTTTTTTTGAATGACCTGCCTTATAAAGCTTCAAACTGGAGTGAAATACACGCATTTTTGTGTGAAACACAAAAACTTCATGCAAAAAACACGAAAAACATAAAAATGACTGCGTTTGGGCGATATGGTCAAGAATCAGCGGCAACAACGGCAAAACCATCTTCGAATGCCTGGTTCTATAATGGTATACTTTGTTGTCCTAAAAGGAATGCACATAAATCATGAAGTCAGGAGGAAATGCTCCTCAGGGAATACTATTTCGGGGGAGAGGGGGTGCGCACCCCCGCCTTGCTGTACTAAACACTTAACCCGAGTCAGACACACCAGCATATTAAATAATAACATCACATTTATCAACGTGCGTATGGTTCCACAATGCACAATCCCATAGGCCGCCATGTTAAAGGAGTTCACGGCACTGTACATATGTTGATTAAATTGTTGACATGCGATAAATAAGCAACAGAAAATTAAACAGAAATTGTGTGATTGTAGGTTAGATGATTCCTCACAAATGTGCAAAATTTGACTTGGATCTTACGAAAATTAAATTCATGAAAATTATGATTTAAACATATTTTTTTATTCATGAAGATGAATTGGGATTGGTGAACAAGCATTACTGCTTATGTTAACACCGCTCCCAACATATAATACAACATGAAATGGAGGATTTGACGTCATCGATACTGACCATTGCATAAACATAATATTTTTAAATATATACAGATTACATGAAATACAACTATTCTCTAAGTAGTCATAAGTTAGAGAGTTACACTTATGTGTGTCGTAACAATCCATTGTAGAAATATAAATCAATCATGAGAAGGTTGTTGAGTAAATTTAATTATTTTATTATTATCATGAACATTATTTATGATACACTATCTATGGCAATTACGTCAAGTGTCCGAGTATAACTGGTAGGGTCTGTATATATGATAATAGTTGACATCAGTGTTGCCGTGCACAGCATAAACATAATATAATAACTATATAATCAGTGACAAACGTTTTATGTTGATTGCTCAGCATCTATATTGTAATGAAGGGACAATTTGTTCCGCCACGTACATCTACAAAATTCATGTTCAAATTATTTAACATCTGCTGTTATGGGAATTTGCGTTGACATTATATATACAAGAACCACGTGCGTTATCAGGAAAACAATATTTGACCAGTCAACCTTGAAGGGATTGATATTGAAATCAGTACATCAGTATGTGCATCATAATAAGTTCCACAAAGTGTGTGTCTAGTCGAACAGAAATCAGAACATCAATGATTAATTTTCATACCAGAGCATTCAATATCAGAATAGCAGTAAATGGTCATTAGAATTCTGTGGGGACAGAGTCCCGAGTCGACACATGAGGCGAATAGCTTACTATTTACTGCAGTAGTCCCAAATATTAACAAATATGTAAAATTTGTAATATTGTTACAAATATGTATCATTCTTATTTCTTTTTGGAATCACATTTGATGGTCAACTATGAAATATTCCACTCCTCTTTATGGGTACATGACAGCTTGAGCTGGTAGGCCTGACCCGGATGCAGATCATGTTTGACACGTGCGGTGTTTGTAAACACCGTTGAACACACCTCCATCGGAAACAATTCGATTAGATTGCAAAACAAAGGATTGGTGATAATGTGTCGGTATAAATTCCTGTAAATGGGAACGTTGCCAGGTAGTCGTGTTATTAATTCGACCATACATTCTACCGAACCAGTTTCTAGACGTGTACACACGCCGAAGGTTAGAGTGACCTCCCTTCAAGAACGAATCGAAGATGGCGGCGTTGAGAGGACAGGTGAATTGTGTTTACATGCTTTATTATGTAGTGACCTCATGTCGCATTTGAATTGTGTTTCAAGTAGTAGGTGTTGTTGCGTAGACCCACTGGTAACTAGATACATCATTTAGTTCTTCGTGTGTTTCCTGTGTCAATATTATGTGACCTAAAGTTATTTCGGCGGAGAGGCTTATGTCCAGCGTGTTGCCGCGGTTCGTTCTGTTCTTATCGAAATTGTTTGTTTTATGCTTATTGATTGGTGTGATCATTTTAATAAGGATGCGGATTTATTAGGATGACAGAGGTTTGTCAAAGTTTGGTAATAATCGGAAGGTTATTGCTCTCGAAAGAAGACTTTATTCCATGACTTTTTGGTATGACCGTTACCCAGGTCTCGACTTGGCACATTGCCAAAGTGGAATTAACGTAAAGAATAAAAGCGTCATTCGGGCGGGTGGAATTTGATATCAAGGTGAATTGATAAATTTAATAACTATGTCAGTATGTGTCCGTTGATACACGCATTGTTGTGAATTGTCATGTATCTGAAATTCTAATTACATGTGAGTGAATATGTAATTATTGGAGAAGCCATGTCACAAGAGGAGACTATCACAGGGGAGAGCAAACTTGAGAACATATCAAAGACTCTCATGGCAAGGTCCCCAATTTTACTGTTACACAAATACCATGATACGGTAGCGGGTGACTGTGAAGTGCAATTTTTTAATATGTAATTATTATTTCAAAAACATGTAATTGCTTTAAAAGTGTCAACTGTCATACAAACACAAAATTCCCACCAGTTTGTACACAGTTTGTACACATGTGTACTGACTGCAAGACTTAAACACTTTATTACCCATGAAGGTCCGGGTTAGAATATTAATTTGATCTTCAGTAACCCATGCTTGTCGTAAGAGGTTACTAACGGGATCGGGTGGTCAGGCTCGCTGACTTAGTTGACACCTGTCATCGGTTCCCAATTGTGCAGATTGATGCTCATGCTGTTGATCACTGGATTGTCTGGTCCAGACTTGATTATTTACAGACCGCCGCAGGAAAATTTATGTTCCTAACATGCTAGTCATCCTTTAAAGATGTGAAATTTGCAAATGCTTTTTGTGCAGTTTGCCAAAAAAAATCAACCAAAGAACTACATGTTTTTTTCTTTATTGTTTAGTGCAATAACAAAAAAAAACAAGGAAATTTTGATAAATGATGCAAACCAATTATCTTCTATGATTGATAAATGGTAATGAACCAATCATCAATAATGAGATTTTAACCAATTCCCAACACTATTAAATATACATGTATACCAAAAACATTCCTAGTTATCAATTCTTACTGATTTTTGCTGAAGACATGGGGCTGAATATTGGTCTCTGAACACACCTAGATAACAATTGGTGTTTTTTTTTTTTTTTGTTTATTTTTATTATGATAGGAAGTAATACAATATTCATACAGCTGGATAATACAGAGAATAAATATATCCAAGCTGCAGAATAAATGGGAGACGACATGATTTAGGGCTGTATGAATAAAGTACAAACGAATAGGGATTTAGGAAAGTAAGAAATTAGAGGAGAGAAAGGAAGATGTGATCAAACATTGGTTTGCTTCCATATATATTAGTAAGGGGGCCCATTTTTCCGCAAATTTGGTCTTATCTCCAGAAACCGTTGGTGTTTATTGTGCTAGATTAACATTTATTGTTCAAGTCGCTAAACTGAATATATTTTACAAGGAAAAACAGTTCCTAAGTTATCGTCTTAAAATATGTCTAGGGGAACCTGAACTTTCAATTGGATAGGAAGTATAAGCGTGAACAAACTTTTCAAACATCTTATCATATAGTATGAACACACCATCATTTCTCTTTATCACCACCCTTAAGTTCATTGCATGTGATGCATGTGCACAATGCAGTAGCCCCATACATGGGGTGTCATTCTTGATTTTGACGATTTTCAAGAAGGTTGATAAATCAAATTAGTCCATTAATTTTGACAATCATCTTACAGTTATTAATGTTTGTTTCTAGCCATTTTCTTAGGTTTGGAAATTAAAATTGTACACATGCAAATTTCATGTCATACACCAATCATCTTTCAAGAGCGATAACTGTAAAAACAACTAAGGTCATAAGGAAGTGCAAGTGGTGATGCACTCTCAAAACATTCATTAATATCATATGAACGCTGGTTGACTCTGATACATCTCCCAATTTTTTCGATCATAAATTTGGGGCGGTGGGGTAGCCTAGTGGTTAAAGCGTTTGCTCGTCACGCCGAAGGCCGGGGTTCGATTCCCCACATGGGTACAATTTGTGAAGCCCATTTCTGGTGTCCCCCGTCGTGATATTGCTGGAATATTGCTAAAAATGGCGTAAAACCATACTCAGTCAGTCAGTCAGTCAGTCAATCATAAATTGAAAATGAAGTTCCCCTACTTTTTTAGAGTGTCTACAATAAAAAGGAGCCCACAAACTGCAGTATCCTAGACTGGCCACATTGTTTACAGACTACTCATTGTGCCTGAATTGTAAAATATTTCATCAGATTCTGGCAACAAGAAAGGTCAGGTCGAGGATGATGTAATGTGGGAAAATATTTCATAAGCCCTCAACAGATTCAAACTTAACTGCCTTTGATATATTAAGAGAGTTTAATAGATTCCACTGTATCATCATGATAATGGGTTTGTATATTTATATGTATGTGGCCTTGAAACATGTACAAAAGACATATTAGAGGTCAGAGACATTGTCATACTTACTCTAATTCAATTCATAACCTACTTTCACTTGCACAGGTATGGTTACACTCTGTGCCCAGATATTTTGAGACGATCAGCCCAATAGACTAACGCCTAGTCTCTGAATACTGTAAACGTACTTATTTTTGCGTGGTGCAATTTTCGCGGACAGTTTAGACTACATCGCGCGGTCAATTATTCGCGCAATCAGTAATTGCCGGAACTGCCAGCTGTCTCTTTGGCCGCCATTAATATATAATATATATAATTTTGACAGCAACAAATAAACCCATTTAAATTGTAAAGGAGCTCCAGTGAGATGGGAATTTCACCTGAACCTGAGGAAATCTAGACTTGTGTCATCTACGGCTTTAGAATTGTAGGGAGGGCTATGCAGTAGGGAAAAGAATGTGGCTCAGGTGCTGTGAGACAGACTACCAGTCCAAATCGGGCTCTCAGCATCATATTTAATAGGTTTTAGTATCGTTATGTGGAATTACATCACCAAACTTACTAGACCAGAGCAGATTATTATTAGACTCTGGTTTCATGTATGTGGTTAATGTTGCGTATTGCTGTGACATAACTACAAGCTGTTTCATGATATATGTAACGGAATCTGGTAATCGGGATGGAAGAGACTCAGGTGAAATTATCTAGCCTGGTAAATGTGTGGTTTATGGAACTATTGGTATCAGATAATGTTGTCGTGTATTTATGTAAATAGTCACTGGATAGTGGGTTTCTGGATTAACACTGGCTGGTTGGTTGGTTGTTTAATGCTGCTCAGCAATATTTCCAGCTAAATGGCGGTGGTCTGTAAATAATCAAGGGTGGACCAGACAATCCAGTGATCAACAGCAAGAGCATTGATCTATGCAATTGGGATACGATGACATATGTCCACCAAGTCAGCGAGTCTGAGTCTCTGACCACCCGATCCCGTTAGTCGCCTTTTATGACAATACACGGGTTACTGAAGATCAATTCTAACCTGGATCTTCACGGGTTGGTTTGTACAACGGCACCCAGATGGTCATGTGACAATGATCATAACATCAATCACAGTATTCCCTTTTTAGGTCTGAAGTATTGGCAATCTGTCATAATGCAGTTTATGTGGATATTGTTAAACGTCAAAAATATAACAAACAAATCATCAGACTGGACTGAGTGCCTGTATTTCTGTGGTCAGTGGTTTCAACAAAGGTCGTCTGCAGAGGCCACTCAATGGACAATGGACGCTGTCAGACAATAGTGTATTGATTTTGCGGGGAATTAGGTCCCAGTTAGCCTAGCCTGCTTAAAGTTGGCTTCATTAATAAATATGTGATACTTAGTATATGGATTGTGACTGAAGTACAGTTAGGGTTGCTATGGTAACCACTGTAATTATGTCAGTCGAGACACTCAGTTTTGTGTGCACTTGTTTGAAGAATATGGATTGTGACGGAAGTACAGTTCGGGTTGCTATGGTAACCACTGTAATTATGTCAGTCGAGACACTCAGTTTTGTGTGCACTTGTTTGAAGAATATGGATTGTGACTGAAGTACAGTTAGGGTTGCTATGGTAACCACTGTAATTTTGTCAGTCGAGACACTCAGTTTTTGTTTGAAGAATATGGATATGAACAAGTCCAAGCAATAGTGTTGGGAATTGGATAAAATCTCATAATTGATGATTGGTTCATTACAACCGATCAATCATCGAAAATAATTGGTCAGCATCATTTATCAAATTTTTCTGGTTATGTTTGTTACTGCACAAAAAAACAAAGAAAAAACATGTAGTTCTTATGAGTCTTTTTGCAAATTCCACAAAATGCATGTGCAAATTTAACATCTTTAAAGGATGACTAGTATGTTAGGAACATAAAGTTCCTGGAGTCTTTAACATAAATTCAATCCTGACTTGGAAGGTGCTTGTAATGTTTATGAAATGTAACAGACAAAACCAACCTTGTGAAAAATATTGTTAATGCAAACAAGTGTTCCAGTATTGTTTGTGTTCGATTATGAGAAAACATGATCGATTGCTTGGTCGTTTAGTCATTGCGACCAATCTTCGATTATTTCAATTAATTGGACCACCACTACCATGCAATTTTCTGTTTTTCTTCTGATAGCCGAAAAACAAGTGCGCTAATATTTTTTCATGGCCTGTTTGCTCTTTCACCAGCATCAGTAGTCAAGTTAGCCTATTTCGCTGTCTCTGAACCAGACTTACTGTAATGCAAAAGCCTAATGAGGCCAA